CGTTGGCGACCCGCGTGATTCCGAGGAGTACACGTATTGGGAGACATCTTCGCATGACACTCTCTCCTACGCCTTTTACAGCGTGCCGGATCAGTATAGGAACGTTCCAGCAGTGAAATCCGCCTCGCGTATCTTCGACCAGATTCCCGACGGCCAGCTCGTGCGACCGGACAAACCAGAGCCTGCTGTTCTCCGCCTCAGCGCGGTGAAGGGCACTGAGGACACCCGGCGAAACCTCGAGAAGCTGAAGGAGGAATCCATCAAGAAGAATGTGGTCATTCTCGGCGCCAGGAGAGGCGAAGATATCGCCCCCGAAACACGGTCGCTACTCTGTGCGCTAAAGTCGGGGATATTGCCCGATTCCTGGAGATGGGAGTGAGGTCCAGAGCAGGACCTATCCTCCCGACCAGGAGTGACCCTGACCTGATGATCCAGGCCATTGTTCCCGCCCCCACGGAGCTCCTGGCCGACGAGATCCGTCAGAAGGTGGAGAGTAGGGCGGGCGCCTCTTCGCACTATTACAGGAGAGCATGCGCGGAAATACGCGACGCGCTCCGTGGAACAGCCGTGCAGCCTGGAAATGCAGGCGCGGTCAAGGACCCAGAATTGGAGGCCTCGTCTGCCAGCGGGCAAGGGAACGTCACTTCGGTGATGCAACTGAAGAAGTTCCTGAGCCACTACTTCGGGACCAGCATCGAGTCTGAGGATGCCTTTTCATTGTACCTCCTGTCTTCTTTCCTCGAAGACGGGGTGGGAATGTTCGAGATCATCATCACCGTCATTCGTGACAAGGAGCGTCGATTGCTGCCTGGTTCCGCCCGCATAGCGGCGGTAAGGTCGCTTGAGATCGGATCTGACACTGATTACCGAGCATTTCGTGAACGATATCAATACTTGCTCTACGAGAGCCCTGTTTGTCTTCCTATCACCTCTAAGGTGGTTCCCAAGACACTCTACAAGGTGGTGCCTCTCCGGATGTATCGGCTCTACGTAGAACGTGGAGCGATCATTCGGGGTGGGCGAGCCATGATTGAGCTCCTCCTTTCCAGGCCGGATGAATACCAACCCATCCGCAATCACGGTGAATGCCCCAACGACACTGTCGACCGATACTGTTGTCAATTTGAATGCATATGTAATGTCAACACCATGCCCGGGTGCCCCGGGTGTGCTAGAAGCGAGAGCATTCGTGCGCATACGAGAGCGTTTGTATACATACGAGAGCGTTCGTATACATACGAGAGCGTTCGTATACATACGACAACTTCACGAGGACATTGCTCTCGTTTGTTGCTGCAGTTGTCCTTTGCGCAACTTTGGATTCTCTTGGTGTGACGGAGCTGCACACCTCGGGTCGACGCCAGAGGAGCGATCCCCGATATGTGGTCATGGCCCTCGATGCACGTTTCTTCTCCATGGAAAATGGGGGCATGCATATTACTCGTCAGGGTACCTTTGCATCGCGCGAGAACATCGCGATCGGGTACTGGAGATGCGTCTACTTCAAGGAGGACTGCTCCATCATTTACTTGAGGCCTTGGTGCTATCCGCCCAACTTCCTCAGCTCCGTGAGTGAGAACCCGAGGAAGTGTCGGGACGAGATGGAGAAGACTCACCAGATCACCAAGGCGGAGCATGTCCGCGAGGTGCTGTCTGTTCCATGCCATAGGTGCATGACGGCCCATCCGATCGGCGCTCACCTATGCACCGCCTGCTACCTTCCCATCTTCTATGAGGGCGTCCTGCCCACCGGAGACACGGACGGCGGCCCTCGCACGATAGCAAGCACTGACGGGGTGATTCCCAGCTGGCTGGGGAAATACGGGGGCGTCCGCCAACGCCATCGGAATGGCCCTCTACTCACAGAGTCCCGCCGTTGACGCCCGGTCCTTGCTGATGTCTGGGATGCGACCTCCTAAGTACCTCGACAAAGAGGACGTGGACGGCATTTTCCAGAAACTCCACGACTCGCTCCGAGACGAGGTTCTTGACGGCAAATACCGTGACACTGTTGACCACAATGTGGAAGAGTGGGTCGCAAAGGCGATCTTGGTAAGGGGTCTTGCCTTCAACGGGAGCACCGTCCCCGACTTCTTCGAAGAATATGAAGGGTATGCGGCTGAGTGGGGCAGACGCCTAACCACCGCAAACTTCAACGCCAACCGCTGCGGCTTTTACACGTCTTACTACATGGTCGAAGCTCATATCATTGGGCTGAGATCCGGGCATCTTTCTCCGATACTCCCGAACGATGTGTCCGGGGAGGCGTTCAAGGCCAGGTGGAACTGCTCGCACAACACTGCGGAATAATGCAAGCCATGCGGAGGAGGGCCGGCTTCGATCCCGCCGCGCGTCTCAAGCAGGCTATGGACACGATACGGGAAGGCATAAAGAAGGGCTACGCCTACACGCTCAACGACCTCAGCAGTATGGATGAGCTGATCTACCGGACGTCCACCGTTGCCTACGACACATGCTTGGCCGACCGTCCGCAAACCCAGGACGACATCAAACAGGAGCTGGCCGATCCTGTGCCCAGGAAATACCGCTTCCGACCCCGCGATCGCCATCGACCCGGAATCCGCCTTACACCAGGCCCCGGCGTGAAAGACGAAGAAGAGCCCGACTTTGCTGGATCAGCGGAGGATGAGCTGGGATCGGATGGATCTTCGCACGAAGACGATGAGAAGCCTGATGACCTTGACGAGCCCATGGGCGACGATGAGGAGGAGATCCCTCCCCCTCCGCCACCGCCCCCGGCTCCTCCCGCGCCGCCTGTCCCGGTAGAACCGGAGACTCCCGTGGTATCCCACACTGGCGTCGGTTCTGGCGGAGCTGTGCCACTTCCTCCTCCTCCTCCCCCCGTCCCTATTGCTGCGGGCGTTACAACGGCTGGGGATCCGTTTGAGGAAGAGGACATGGCCGTCAACACTCGTGTCCCTGACACCGAGTCCGAGCTGGAGGCTGACACCGACCAACCCAAGGCCAGGAGGACATCTCGTGGTCGGGTCCCTGCGCCCGAGAAAGGGCAGGGGGGCGTTCACGTCCCGCCTGGCGGGCAACCCAGCTCCAAGAGCATGGCCCAGCCTGCCCGTCCGTCCCCGGTCCCCGCGAGAAGCGGTGCGGAAGGAGGGGAGAGAAGGGGCAGAACCAAGGGGTTCTACACCCAGAAGGATCCTTTTACCGGCGAGGACGCGACTCCCCGGGTTCGTCTTTGGTCTGGCGGTCCCGGAACTCCTGCGTCCCCACCACGGGATGCCACTGGTTCCTTGGGCGGCCGTGGCGGCTATGACCCGCGCGATGACGACGACGAAGAATGCCTCGGACCACTCGTGCGGCCAATGAGTCGCGACCCCACCGAGATGACGATCGATCAAGGACCGCGCTTGGGGCCCGCGAGGATCGTCGCGGCCCTAGGGTGAGGCGAAGGGTCGAGGGAGACACCGACCTGGTAAAGGTGGACGCGAGGATCCTGGCCCGCCCCGACAAAGGGATGATCGTGGCAGGGATACCCGCGGAGGCCGACGCGATGATCGCCGACCTCCTCCACGCCATGAGGAGCCCTCCGAGAGGCGCGGTCCGGGGCGAGATGAGCGCCGTGGACGTGATGGCCCCGCCGATGACCGTCGCGATCGCCACAGGGACCGGCGCAGGGATGACCGACGTCACCAATCAGATCCCCCTCCGCCTCGCCGACCTCCGGCTGGCGACCACAGTAGAGATGGTGGTGAGGATCGCCGTCGGGACGGAGGTGGCGATCGAGGTGACCGCGGTGGACGTCGGAGAGATGACGCACCCAGAGACCGGGAAGAACCCGGTTCAGGGTGGTAGGCAGGTACCGCAATCAGCATCCGCCTTAGAAGGGCGAGGATGGCGCATGTGTCGCCGAAAAACGCGACCGCGCCGATCCTCCTCTCGCCCATGCGGCACTGCTGGGGGTGATGGTCTCCATTGCCCTGTACCGCTGATCCGGCGTTGTTCGTGTTCCTCCCGCACCGCTGCCGTGCGCGCTGGAGACGGTTCCCTTGGCGATCCTGTGTGAGGCTGTGACCGCACTAGAAGTGCCGGGCCGGCCGTAGCCGGATATTTTTTATCTCACCAATTTCGGAACGTCTTTTTCCTTTTCCTCCCAACTCGGTACCTCCTCCAACCACATTACGACATGCAGTGAGGCGCGGTGATCCAGATAGGGTCCCCCTCCGCATGTTGCTGTCCCATGACAATACGTGAACGGCACGAGAGGAATCTTCGTCTGGCTCCTCCAATATGTCCTTGTTCACTCACGTGGCCCATTCGTCAAATAATCCTGTCGCCCCGCTAATTCGGGGTGGTGGCGGGATTTTAACTGGGGCCCAGGTGCTGCCGCTTGGCTCACCTCTGAGTTGACACTGGCATTTTTGGTTGGTTCCTTTCGTCGTGAACTCAACTGTCTTGCATCCTTTCTCTCGTCCAGAAATCGGATGAGGGGGGTGTGTTTCGTTCACGTGTTGTTCTATCATAAGCGAATCGGCCGAATGGCCGTTTGGCTCAAGTTTAAACCTCCCGTCAGGGGTCTCTCGGATTTGCGTGCATCCGCCATAGCACGGCGGCCTGCGTCATCATCGGGAAAAGGTCCTGGTGCTGCCGCGGCCGGTGTTAGGTGGTGGGTGGCTGGTCGTCGAGGACTTCCTGGGCCTGGTTCTGAACTTCGCTTTCTGTTGTAACCTGTTTTCCAACCCTCCCAAACTTGATCTTCTTCAACTGTCACTCCCACAACCTGGTCATCAGCAACTTCACCATTGTGCGTTGGGACTGGGTTCTTTTGGTACTTCGTGGATCACGTGTACCTCTTTGATTCCCTGGGCTACTTCGTGTTCGCCCAAAACCGCACAACTCGTTGACGTATGAACAATGTGGGTATGGAATTGGCATGGAACGCAGTTCGCAGCCGTGGCCAAGCAGGGCCCACTGAGATCTCATATGAAGTAGGGCAGCCGAGAGTCATCAGATCATGCACCAAGGGGACGAGCGTGGCGAGCCTGAGAAACGCACCTGTTCTGCAAAGCCTCCCTGCAGCTGGAGTGCAGACTCGTTTCAACCTCAGTTTGCGCTGTATGCTTCCTGGCCGCCAGACAATAAGCGGAGACTGACCAGCTGAGCTTGTCTATTGAACAGTGCAGTTGAATTGGAGAAGTTGCTTGGAGCGCGCTCGCGTCAAGGCCCATGAGCCGCAACCTGCAAGCTGATGGCGCGGAACTCAACGAGCTGGGCTGATAGCGTGAGTGTCCGTTCCCATGGCTGCAGTTTATTCAAGGGCTTCGCCCTACAGCTGCGCACAAACACAGGCAGACAGCGACAGAGAGCGAGGGAGAGAGGGAGAGAGGGAGAGAGAGGGAGAGAGAGAGAGCGAGAGCGAGAGAAACAGATAGAGAGAGAGAGAGTCCGATGGACCCTATCCTTGTATCCCTTGGCCAGTGCAACATCCCGTGTCGCGAAGCGCCAGTATTGCAAGTCCCGCGTGATCCGCCAAACTGTTAGTTCCAGGAAAGGGCGCGGGTCTCCATCCCAGACGCGTTGCCCGAAGACTACAATCGTTTTCGGCTCGTTTCTGTTCAGTTCGCTTTGGCGTCGGGTCAGCGCGTTGGTTTGGTATCGTATCAGCTCAAGTCTGTGCTCTTCGGCTCTCAACATTTTTTTAGACTCCAGTTTTGCTTCTGAAATTTCAGCAATGCAAAACAACCAAACACCAGCAAGGCCAACAGAAAGCTAAAGACATGCTGTGGGAGCACAGGGTCCCATCCTAAAATTGCAGCCTCAAGCTATTCCCGCCAGTTCTTTGGAAGCCTCTCCCCAGATGGCAAGGTTCAAGCTGAAGAAGACTCCCGCAGTTTGTTTCAGCCACGTGCAACTGCACAACGATGTGTGAACCAGTTCCGGAGCCATCCCGAGCCATCCCGAGATTCGAGCCGAATCAGCGGGCCGAGCGGCCAGCCGAATCGAGGCAATCGAGGCAATCAGGGTAGGGGAGCCAGCCACAGAAGCCAAAGAGGTCCAGCCAGTTCAGCCAGTTGTGCCAAATGTTGAGAAAAGCGCGCCAATTCGCAGGTGGCCCGAGCCATCGAGTGGAAACGATGTTTGCGGTCAAAAGCTGGTGAGGTGCCTTCAAAAGATATGAGCCCAGAGGTGGGGTTGCTTCAGTTGCGGCTGGGATGGGCATGGGTTTTTTGTGCCCCAGGCTTTGCAGAGATTGGATCGAAAGCGGCCGCCCGTGCACTGAGCAGACCCTTGTGGTCGGCTAATGTCTGAATGTACGGCTTGTGTTTCTACAGGGGAGCGAGTTTTCCTAGATGGCCCGCTCTCATTTCAGGATGCGTCTTAGCTTTGATGCCAGGTAGGAAGCTCGCAGCCCCATCCTTCAATGACACTGTGCCTTTTTGACACGAATGTCTTGGCAAAGACCTTGCATTCAGTGGCAGCGCGACAAAATGTGAGTACTTCCGCAATCCGCTCGGCAGAGACAAGCCAACAATTGGTGTATTTTGCCTGGCAAGCTTCAAGGCATCGCAGCGTTTGGATCAAGACCAGGCAGACAGGTCATGCATGACTGAGGTGGATGAGGAGATCTTTGAATCCAGCAGCCTGGCATGGGTGAACAACTTGTTGCGGGCCCTTTGGCCGAATGCCACTGTAGCACTGATGAACTTTGTGAACGAGGATCTGACAGCAAAGCTTCAGCGGGATTTGCCGAAGCCTTTCAAGAGCACGCGCTTCACTCGATTCTCGCTGGGAGACGGAGTGCCAGCCTTTGGGCCCATAGAAGTCAGCAGACATTCGGATAGCCATGTTTTGATTGAGTTCGAGGTGCGCTACTCCAGCGCAGTGGACATCTTATTGACCGCGGCTGGCCTGGCACTGGGAGTCAAGCGCCTCGATTTCTCTGGACGGCTTTGCTTGGAGCTGAAACCCTTGCTAGACACCTGGCCAGTCGTTGGAGCCGTGGTAGTTTACTTTGCCACGCAGCCGAAGATCGAGTTGCAGTTTACCGGACTTGTTGATGCCCCGCTGCCCGGGATTGCCAAGCAGGTGCAAGCTGCAGTCCATGGGCTTTTGGGTCGCTTGGTGCTCCCGAACTTCAAGTGCATGCAGATCACCGGCGAGGGAATGGCCACGTCTCTGGCGATCGGCACACGCGAGCCCATGGGGATTCTGAAGGTGCAGGTGTGTCGGGGCACCCACCTAGCAGGCGCAAACTGGAAGCTTGGACAAGTGCGAAGCTTTACCTCCAACCCCTACTGTATCCTGCGTCTTGGCACAGCTGCAGTGCGCACCTGCACTGTGAAAGGCACCACGAATCCCGACTGGCCAGAAACAGAGGCCGCCTATTTCGTGGTCTACAACAAGGAGCAAGAGCTTCAGATCGATGTGATGGATGACGATTCGTGCAGCTTTCTGCAGCGAAACTTTGTCGGGCTCCTCGGGAGCCTGCGGAAAAGCGTGAGTCAGTTGCTGGAGGCGACCCCGGGTCGCTTTGCACTGGACACCTCGCAGGCTGGGCGGCCAACCGAAATGCAGAGCATGACTTTTGAGGTGTGTGGGTGGCTCGTCTTTTTTAAGGTTGGACCCCCCAAAATGCTGGTTTTCCTGTTGGTTTCCCTTCACAGAACCCAAAAAGGGCCCTAAACCAGCCTTGAACCAGCCCCAAGTCTACCTAAACCAACCTTGCATCCTGCTCTCAACCCTGTGCTTGGTGACATCTCTGATGATCTTTGGACCGTAAGGGGGCAGCCCAAAACCAGCAGTGCACTGCTCAATCCATGCCTTGCCCGTCTGAAAAATCGCTTGCACCTGCGCCGAAGTAGCCATTGCCCACTGCCGGCGTAGCATAACAAAGGCTGGCAGCCCTAACAGTCTGCAAGTCAAGCCCAAATCGCCCCGAACCTCACTTGAAGTACTTGCTGTAGGGCCATGGAATGCTGTTTTTTGACCATTTCCACTTGCCAAGAAGAGTGCCGCACTGTCCTGCTAGAATTAAGCCAATGTAGTTGGCAGAATCATAGGGTCCAAGGATGCACGAGGGTGAGCTGATGCTTTGATAGGGAGAATGTCGACTTTATCTGCCTCGCCAGGTGAAGTCGGGCCTGCTGCATGTGGATGACCCGGTCAACACAGGCGTCCCTTCAGAGCTTGACTTGAAATGCAAGTGGCTGGCCTTTGCAGACCTCCAGGCCAAAAGGACGGATGAATGGAGGGAAGAGGAGCCGCATGGAGTGGTGCTGGTCCAGCTTCGGCAGGGGACTGGCTTTCCAGAGGAGGCTGTGGGACGCAAGGGCCTGCGGTGGAAATGCTGGTTAGATGAGGGCGCAGTAGTGCTCAGCTCTGGTGGCAAGCCACCAGGACATCCCGACTTTCAAATCCCTTTGCCGCAGTGCCTCTACCACGTCATTGATCAGCTCACAGCGCGGGGTGTGCCGTCAGCAGAGATCGCCGAGATCGTGGAGGTGCAGGAGGTGCAGGTGAGCCAGTACTTACGGGCAAAGTCCGACTTCATGGAGAGCCAGGCCCAGAGGAAGTTGGAGAATTCTGAGGTGCAGTGTCTGGAGCTTTGCTGGCACGAAACGCTGGCCCTTCTGGTGCCTCAGTTGCATCACCACGAAGCACGCCTCAGCGGCGCTTTCGGCTGGCTTCGGGTCTGAGGTGAAGACTCCGGCAGCACAGGTCCAGCTTAGCCTTTTGGACGGCCACGATCGGACTGTTGGCCACGAGCCTGGCTGAGAGAGCGGGGTGGAGTGTTTCGCACTTGGGCTTTGGAGTGCTTGCTGGACATGCCTAGGTCGCTTGGAGCCCATCTCCGTGTCTGAGCTGAGATTGAAAGCGAGAGCTTGAGCATTTCAAGCCAGCCTGAGCAGTTTGCACAGCAAGGTTCGTCATGCGATGTCAGGATTCTTGGCTGCAAAGTTGGGTGCTAGTCGCTGCTGCAGATGAGGCTGAAAAACAAAAAGGCAGAGTTTTGGAATGGTAAACGGCTTCAATTCGAATTTAAACGCTCTGTCTCTCTCTCTCTCTGTCTCTCTGTCTCTCTGTCTCTCTGTCTCTCTGTCTCTCTCTCTCTCTCTCTCTCTCTCTCTCTCTCTCTCTCTCTCTCTCTCTCTCTCTCTCTCTCTCTCTCTCTCTCTCTCTGTTAAAACCCTCTAGGCCCCGTGCCTAAATTGGGAAGCAGTTCTGAGGTCTGTGTTAGTGTTGCTTACCAAGTTCCATTGATCGCCATTTGGCTCAAGACACAATTGAGGTTCAAGATCTGATGTGTAGCTGCGTACACAAGTGATCGGCATAGAGAGCGGAAAACACTTCGCTTGCGCTGCATTTGTCAGGACCACTGTTGTAACTATTATTCCTTCTCCCTTACAACGTTTACACGGGTTCGGCTATATCGGCTTTGTCCGTATACACCTTTCTACGTGGTTGGTATTACAGCTGGAGGGTTCGGTGCACAGCGTCCCACGGGACGTCACCTTGCCGTCTCTTGACAGGTTATCAGCCGTATCGACAAGCTCTACACTGGACAGAGAGACAGCTGGTTTATTGCGGGTACAGGGACAATAAAGGAACAATAACCTACACAGTACAATGGCATCTTCAGCGAGCCCAAGTACTGCAACTTTTGGGAACAGCAGCTCAGAGGGATCCAATGGATTGATGGCTCTTCCTGCGGTGATGGATATGATCGCAGATTCACAGGATGAACCTGGGAGCGGAGGATCCGCGCTATTCAGCGACATATCCACTCCCACAAGATCATGGAAGCAGATCGATGTTCATCAGGAGTCGAAGCAAAGAGAATCCCCACCGAGAAGATCGTCATCTTCGCCTGCGACACCACGGACGTCGCAGAAGGGCGTGAGGTCAACATCAAAAGGTGGGAGGTCAAAATCACCCACCAGTGCTGAGTTTCGCGCAGCAATCAAAGAAAAGAACAAGATGGAGGTGGAGATCGGGGAATATCAAAAGACACTTGATGAAATGTCGGCAGCGATGGCGAATCTTCATCAAGAAGACTATGGGAGCACCATCCGGATCCAGGAGCTGGAAAGACGATGCGAGATTGCCAGCAAGCAATCGGGACATCTAGTGAGTCACCACCAACACCACATGGCTGAGGCATGGCGCAAGTTTGAGGAGGAAGCCCAACAGATGCGCAAGGTGGAAATGAACGCATATCAGTACGGGGAAAAGAAAGACATGGAGTCGAATGTTATAATGCAACAGATGAGACAAGCTGAAGGAACTATCATGGAGCAGAAGCGGGAGATTGCAGTGATGAACTCCTACATGGCAAGCGAGAAGTCGGCCGCGCAGGAGTCAGCTATACATGCAAATCAGATACACCGTGAAGCTTCGCAGCAAATATCAGTTTATCAGCAACAGATCAGAGGCATCGAATCGTCTACATCTATCGAGAAGTTCAACGAGGAGGAGATGGTCCAAAGTCTGAAATCACAGTTGGAGCACGCACTCGTCAAGCGCCCCGAGACATACTCTATGGAGGACTCCAGGGAGCAGCTGATGGCGAGACTGAACGACGTTACAGTATTCGCGGAACAAGAATCAAAGAGAGCAGATTGCTTGCTTCGCGAGAAGGAAGAGATCGTCAAACAGTATGAATCCGACGTGTCGATGAAGGACCAGATGATTGCTATCGAGGGTGGTCATCGTCAAGATGCGATCTTGGAGTTAGCCCAGGTCAAAGAAGCAAAACAAGAAGAACGGTGCACGATGGACGAGAAGTCGAAGGAGGCTGAGTACTGGAGGTTGACAGCTAAGGGAGTGTATGATGAGTACCTTGAGGAGATGCATGAGCTTCAGGGACAACTGAAGGAAAGGGAGGCGACACTCAAGCAAGAAGAGAGTTTTGTTCGTCAACTCGATGCTGACAATGAGGAACTACGTGCACTCAAGAAGCTGGAAACGCAGGAAGCCTCTAGCAGTAAAGATGGACATCGTGAACGAGCAGTAGTGAAACGCGCTGAGGGAGGACCCCAAGCTAATTCAACTAGGGTAGACAAGAGGGTGGCTGGGTTAGTCCCGTCATCGTCTTCGAATCTGACCCCTAATTCGTCGCTAATGCCAGGTTCGATTCTCTTTCCGTCTTTTGGTGATCCAATGATCGATGTACACCTATCCCAGATGCAAGGGGTTGTCGGACATGTCCCACAATCCACTACTACAGCTGGTGGGTGGTGATGGAGGGGGAAACAACGGTACTACACCCCCATTGGATTACGGTGGATTCTCGCCCAATGGAAATAGACAAGGGGCAGGTCGACGTCAGTTGAGCCTCACAGGTGGCGGAGGAGGACCTCCGGATGATCCACCCGGTGATGAGGACGAGGATGACGACGATGAAGAGGACGAAGAGGACGAGGAAGAAGAAGAGGAAGAAGATGACAATCGGACACGGAGGAGGCGCAGAAGATCGAGGGATGATCGAGAAATCAAGAACGAAAGACCGAGGATTTCGAGGAAAGAAGCCGAGAGGGTGTCTATTCCTGCTTGGCCAAAGATACATCAACTCGACAACTGGAAGATGCAACTGCTGATGAATGTTCTGAGCGCATGCGCAGATCCAGATACTGACACATGGACGAAATGGTTGGAACAAGCTCTTGGGTTAAACCCAGACCTGAATATGCTGAGCGATTCAGGCGGCGACAGATTTGCTACGATAGATATCAAGATGGCCATGGGCATGCAGAACATGTTGAAACAAGCACCTGACGAAGCCAAAGACGTGTACCTCGACGCTACGCGACACTCGGAACTACGACATCAACAAGGGGTGATCGTGAAGGGACGAGAGTTGGTGGCATTGGTTATGCAATCATTCAGAACATCTGATAGAACGGATCTTGTCTACCACATCGAGCACCTATTCAACCTCGACTTTCCTGGAGATAAGAACTTGGTTATGTTCAGGAACAAGTGGTATGATTTGCTGCTGAAGATGAGGAGCGAGGACAGACCCAGCAAATTGGCTCTCAGAGATATCCTCTACAGGAAGATCAAGGGGAGCAAGAAGATGGAATTCGGCCTCAATGCCTACCATAGACTGCCGGACAAGCATCCCGTACGAATTCTTGTTGGCATTGATCGATCATCAGATCAAGGCGGATCGGGAGGACCTGATGCTTGACATGAAGGAGAGATCGGTCAAGTCGATGATGAAGTCGGGCGGCAGGGATGCGGCCCCAGCCACTGGCAAACAGGAGAACCAGGGTGGCAAAGGCAGAAAGGGGAAACCCAGTGGACCTGATGCTGCTCCTGTACTCCCAAAGGCCAAAGCAAAGGGCCACGCTGGCAAGAACGGCAAGTCCGACGGTGCCAGCGACAGAGGCAGGAGTCCGGGCGGAGGCAAAGATAACCCCTGTTGGTATCACTTCAAATCGGCGAAGGGATGCGTGAAAGGGAATGAGTGCACATTTTCCCACAGCAAGAAGACGGAGCACAAGCTGGAGAACATGCCCAAAGGGAAAGGAAAGGGTAAGTCCAAATCCAGATCATCGTCACCAAAGAGGGATGATGGAGCATGTTTCGCGTTTCAGAAGGGAAAGTGCGACAGGGGGAGCGCTTGCAAGTACAGGCACGAGCTCATCAAGAACAATTCAGCTCCGGCAACGTCAAGCGACAAGGCGCAAGCCAAGTCGAAAGCTGCAGCCAAGGCCGCAGCACCAGCTATTGCAAGAAGGGCCATCGCGATGCCTGCGATAGTCCTGAAGCAATCGGCTCCTGCGGGAAAGGTCAGCTTCAAGAAGGACGTTGACCAGGTCGAACCGGATGAAGCCGAGACTGTCTACCACGAGCATGATGACGACGCGATGAGCGAATCATCAAGATGGTCTGGCGAGTCCGAGATCCCCGAGAAAATGGTATGGTTCAAGGAAGTACTCGACGTCGACGAGAATGGGGAGATCACCTATCTCGAAGACGAGAAAGGCAATGGGAACGAAAAGGGGAATGGTACGGTTATGAGGACAATGAGAATGAGCCTTATCAGTACGTGTACGTCGACGAGAAGAAGTTCAAGAGCAGTGATCATCGAGAATTATCAGCCTATCAAGTCCAACGATCATTGATAAGAGCGAAGATACTGAGAGAGGTGGTAGATGACATATACAAGAAACACTACTTCCCGGTGACCAAGGAGAGCAGCATAATGTTCGAATATGATCAGGCAAGGACGAAATCAGGGAATCGGCCGTCGACTGGAAGAAGCAGCATGGTTTGCCGAAGAACGTTTTCGCCATGTCAACGTGCATCAGTAAACGGGTGAAATGGTTGATGGACACCGGATGTGGTCATGATCTCATCGGACGAGCCAAGGCAAAGAGCCTGGGTGTCGACATCGTGAAAGATGATGACGAGATTGTGTTCCAGACCGCGAATGGTTCCACTTCCACGTCCGACGTGGCCAAGATAGTCGTGGACGAGTTGGACGAGACTGTCGAGCCGCACGTGTTGGATGAGACACCCACGGTATTGTCAGTGGGGAGGAGATGCATGAAGATGGGTTATGCATTTCACTGGATGCCTGGTAAACTACCTTTCATGGTTACTCCAAAGCAGGGATTCGTGCACTTGCAAGTCAAGGACGACATCCCGTATCTCGTGAGTGATGGTAAGCTTCGGAGTAACAGGCATCGCCCTACGATAGACGACCTCAAGGAGCACTTTTCGGAAGTATTGGCAATGGTAACGAACGATGAGGCAGATCAGGAAGGCGACGATGACAACGAAGTCACACCCGCCGCTGTCGGTGAATCCGCAGAGGCCGAGGGCGGACACCATGATGGTGCATTCGACTTCGGACCACCCGGAGGAGCCGGTCCGGCACGTCCGCCTCCCGTAGCTGAGGAAATACCTGTAGATGTTGGGTCAGTCCCACAT